TTTATTGGGTTCAGTCCCCCTGGGAATGGCGGCATTGCTGCCCCGCGAGGCTCCCTCAGAGTCACTGAGAACCGGAGATATGGGCTTTGCCCGCACAATGGCGGCTTCCGTTTTGAAGGGACAAATGAAAATAAATTACAGGAAGAATCAGTTTCTTCGCAGGAAGTATGACTTTGGTGTTCACAATATCGCCGCGCGGTGGTTTGCCAAGGCCGAGGCGCAGAGACCGCGGTCACGTTTCCCGTACAGCAGGCTCAGGGGTTCCGATGTTTCTTTTCATGTCATTCCCGCTGTTCAGACTTATTGTACCGGCCAATAAGCTCAGTGCACATAGAAAACCATCCGGCGTCATCTGTCCTCACACTCCTAGTAGTTCCTGTCCTTCCTGTCCATCTCATACCACGGGTTCTGGAGAGGAAACAGGAGATCAGAATATTCCTTCATAACATGGACACAAGAATTTATCTTCCCGTGACACCCAACCCATCCCCCCCCCCAATAGGTCGCTCTCCCCAAATGGATTCTATGTAACGGGCTTCTAAGATGGGCCGGTGACCTTCTGGTGGACTTCTCCCAAACCCACTACAGCCTATGTGGCCACTATGAGATACACAATGGCGGCAGTGGTGTATTTTGGTTTTGTGCTGCCCTAGGTAAGACTTAACTCGGGGCAACCCCCCTCAATCCAAATTTGCCCCGCCCCTTCCTGTTTAGGACATTTTGCGCAACCCGTCAGTCACTGGATACAGCGCACATGGGATCATACGGGGGGGGAGGAGAGCTGTGCATGGTTTCCGGTGGTCTCAGGAGAACTGTGCATGCTTTATGGTGGGCTGTGCGAGGTCTATGGTGGGCTGTGCGAGGTCTATGGTGGGCTGTGCGAGGTCTATGGTGGGCTGTGCGAGGTCTATGGTGGGCTGTGCGAGGTCCCTTTCCCTGTGCTGCTCCTGCAGCACAAAGTGCCATCAGTACCAACAGGATACATTGCAGTCCCCCAGCCTGCTTCTGGGAGGCCTACCATCAGATCACACGCTATGGAGAGCCCCGAGCCACCCGCTGCCTGATTCTGTGCCCCACCGGGACAGTGCCCAGTATGCCCAAAGGTAAGTCGGGCTCTTTGCAGAAAACGCTGCCCCCCTGGAAAGTGCCGCCCTAGGCAAATGCCTCACGGTAGATACACCCCTGAATGGTGGTCCATAAGACGAACGATGGTGGGCCCAGAACTTGTGGAAGACATCGGCTCCTGGGCGCACCTTCACCTCTCCTCCTTACCTCGTCGTAATCCCGTTGGGGGATGCTGCGGCTGTACTGCTCATCATCCTCATAGACATTGGAGGCTCGGTTCACTTGGCCCTGATCCATCTTTATCTGGACTTTTGGAAACAATGTTCCCGGAGCCGTTCTGCTTCCCTCCAGCTTGTCATCGTCAATCAGTTCTGCCCGCTCGCCACTCTTGCCTTTCTTGGACCTGCAGGGCACAATGAGAGAAATACCCATAAAATGGCGTCACCATCACACGTACAGAGAACACGCTTATGGTGGGAAGGGGTTGAAGGAGAACTCTTTATAAATATTACACAAGAGGTTTCGCCGTTGGATTTCAGTTAGGAATGGCGCCGAGGTTATTTTGGGGGGTCACTTGGTTGTGGTCAGAGAATGTGAAAGCCCACAGGCTGGGGTGCAGCATAATTGGGTGGAGAGGCGGAGGGAGGAGGACAGGCCTTACAAAACACAAAAATTCCCCAGCCTCAACCTGCCAGCCGGCCTGCAACCAAACAAGTAGCCCTGTCAACAGTATGCACCTCAATGACACCCCAATAACGGCCCCCAGCAGGATGAGCACAGCGGCCCCGAGAACGGCCCCGACTATGACCAGGATCAGCAGGTAGTCTGTGGAGAGAAAGATTCACCAATCACATGATTCACCGATCACATGATGATATAATACATTGGGGGAAAATAAATCAGATTACAGTAACTGTAAAAGTGGGAAGCTGTTAGAAATCAGAGGCGGTAAGGACTGGAGAAGGGGGGAACTGAGATAAGAGAGAACTGCAAATGATCTGGAAGAAGGGACTGGAGAAGTGGGGACTTCAAACATTCCAGGGAAAGGGACTGGAGAAGAGGGGCTGAGGACCTCAAACCGAGGACTGGAGAAGAGGGGCTGAGGACCTCAAACCGAGGACTGGAGAAGGGGGAGCTGAGGACATCCAACTAGGAACTAAAGAAGGGGGAGCTGAGGACCTCCAACCGGGGACTGGAGAAGGTGCCAGGGGGGTGGCTGAGAACATTGGGGGGAGGGACTGGAGAAGGGGGAGGTAATTTCCTTTATTTCTTTAGCTATGGGACATTTGTAATGTTGGGTGGAGCCAGTAAAGCCACAATGAATGTAAGTGATGCCACTTTCATGGCCGCCGGCTCTTCATAGCTCAGGGACACTCACTGTCTTTGCATTCATCTCCAGAATATCCAAAATCACATCTGTAAGAAAAGGGAAGAAACGGACAGAGTCAGTGACCATATAGACAGCACTGGGGTCTCGACCTGCATAGAGGACACTACCTGCATGGAGTTTGCGTGTTCTCTCTGTGCTTGCCCGGGTTTCCTCCCACACTCCTGCTCTTGGATAATTGGCCCATGTATGCACCAACTGGCTATGCACGTGTGTTATCACATTCTGTGATTAGGGTTGCCACCTGTCTGGGTTTTGAATGCTGTGTCCGGGTTTTATGGCAGCAGAAACCCGGACACAAGATGCACCTATCTGTGAGCTGGTCCTAGGCCAGGGCAGTTGGGGAAGGTTGAGGAAAGACCTGGCGCCAAGAACATTCTACGGGAAGATGGCTCCCAACCGTATCAGAATGGGCCCTAAAGGAGCCCCCTTCCCCATCTCAGGAAGTTGGCTGACCTCGGCCTGGTCTCCTCATTCTGACCAGTAAGGTGACATCCTGCTCCCTCTACAGGTGTCAGTTGGCAGTGCCGGGTCTCCCTGCTCCTCAGGTCAGTGACAGTTGGTCTCGGTTGTCTCCCCCGATGGTTGGAGCCCAGAGGGGATGAATTGGTGTTTTTCTCTCCTGAACCCAGATACTGTGTCATGGCTTCCTTTGGATGTCCCCCTATGATTTCCTGTGTGGGGTGCGATCTACGGACGGAGCCACATTGTCCATCTACTTATCCTGGCGGGTTTGGGGTGCTCAGCTGGAATTTTGGGGGCGGCTGTGCGGGTCACAATGCGTCACAACTTACTTTGTACATTTGTCGTCCGTGGTTGTTTTGTAGTCGGGTAGACAGACACACTTGGGGATGTTACCGTCTCCGTCCTGCTTACATTGCCGCCCGTCCGCTGCCGTACAAGTAGAATCACATTCTGCAACACGTGAAGGGAGACACCGCGTCATGTGATGTCATAGTGACAGACGGTTACATTGCGTTACATTATACACGTCTCCCGTCTACGGGGGAGGTGCACACAACATGCTACTTTATTTCTAGTTGAAGCCGGTGGTGGGCGCGCCAATACTAAACACCACACTGACCAAAACAAGTGCGCAAGGGGTGTGTCCATCACCCGAAGAGATAGGGCCTCCCCCCCACCGGGCACACAAGGCTCCAGACAGGGGCAGAGAACTCCTGTCCACCTTACTGAAGCCAACCAGACCCATTCCTCTGGTTCAGCCGAAGTCGACCACCAAGTACTAGGTTTTTGGGGACCCCCGAAGAAAGACCCCCGATTCCGGAGAGGAAGGAGCCTGAAGACCCAAATACACCGGAGAATGCACAAACAAAAATCAATAAGTGCCAATGTTCTGGAGTGTGGCTGGGCCTTGCGGCCCGGTATGAAAATGTCCCCCTGGTCTTGGCCAAAAGGGCCAGCCCAATAGGTGCAGAAAGAAACATGTGATGTCCAGGCCAAAGTGCCTTTCACACAGTGGGGTCCCATACCCATAGAGCTCTACGGGCACCCCCAAGGCACCACTCCCAGGGGGGAGGGGGGGTGCTTAATACCGCAGGCTCCCTGCCTTCCCAGCCCATGACCAGACCAGGTAGACCCAGTCGAATCAGGAGGCAATGGGACCCAGTGGTGGAACAATTGCCATAGCGACCCAGGCGGCCGCTAAAGGGCCCGGGGCACAGGGGGGCCCAGCCAGGACATCCCCCTGATGCCGTGCGGGCCGCCTGGGTCGCTATGGCATCTCAGGCCGCTGGCTGTCACTGGCGGCTGTGAGGAGGAACGCGCCGCTATTCACATCACTGACAACCTGCACGTTCCTCCTCACAGCCGCTGCTGAGTCGTTGACAACCAGCAGCTTCGGAGGAGGTGGCTGGGCCCGTCGTCGGCAGCGATGGAGGAGGCGGGGCCCGGTGATGGAGGAGGCGGGGCCCAGTGACGGAGGAGGAGAAGGAGGCGGACAGAGGATCGGGGCAGACAGGTAAGAGGGCTGGACCGCCCACCTGAGACCCCTGCAGAGCCCCCCATAGAGAGTCTATGGGGGGCTCTGCAGGGTCACCCTCAGGTGGGCTGTTTGGGTTATCAGGTGGGCGTAACTAGAAATCACAGGGCCCCATACAAAATGTTGCTGTGGGGCCCTGTGATTTCTAGTTAGGCCCCTAATGGGACCCCTCCCAGACACTAGGGAAGTTCTCTTCTCTTCTATCAGTGGATCCTCCATTTGGTTTCCTTCCCACATCCAGAACCCTTTAGGACCCCCCATCACCTCAGGCCGGGTACTCTGCCGCCATTGTTATCATAGGGCCAGAACGGCGCCACATCTCCTGAACTCTAACAGAACGGATACCACACCGGACTTTATCCAGAAGCCCGAGAAGTGACGCTGCCGCCGGAGATGAGGGAATTGGCTGCATCGGTTTTAACCCCATTGTGACAGTACGTGACGAGTTATATCGGGCTCTCAGCAGTTACCAGTCATTAAAGGAGAACTATGGGGGGAGGGGAGGGGGTGCTTCTCACTCCCCTCATAGTTCTAGCCGACCAGTGACAATGAGACTGTCACAGGTCGGCTCAGTAGATCGGTAGGTGAGCGAACACATACCGGCGTTCGCTCACCTCTCGATCCTGTCACTGCTCTCTGCCGTGATAGGGGGAGGGGCTGGATTCCCCTCTCCCCGCTCCGATCCTCCAGCGCTGACTGGCGGAACGGACGGGGGAGGGGGCGGGTACAGCTGGCTCTGCCTCTAGATAGGAGGAGCCAGCTGTCACTCACGCAGCTGGGCGGATCCCGGCACAATTGTCGGGATCCGCTGCGGCGTCTCAGTATAGCGCGAGCTGTAGCTCCCTATATACTGAGCCTAGGGTGACGGGAGGACGCTAGTTTGTGTCCTCCCGTTACCCTGAGGAGAACTATGGGGAAAAGCCCTGACCTCAGAGTTCTCCTTTAATGAACAGAAACTGAAATCTCGCTCAGTCATGAAGGGGTTAATAGAAGGACAATCTCTCTCACACGTCTACGTACAATTATCTTATTTATGAATTTCATGATTCACCAGAATGCAGCAAATTCACACAATGATTCCCTCACCTGCCAATCCCAACACCGCATCTTCCTCCTCTCCTTCCCAGAATGCAGCAGACATAATACACATGAACAGAGATCACAGGCCCCCTTTAACACGGTCCAGGATCCCCAGACAGTGCGTGTGCGGTGCCCCCTGGTGTTGGTTTTGTATCACTACATGCGTCTTACCTCTGCAGGTGGTGATGGTTGTCTGTGAGGAGTACAGCCCGGCATTACAGGTACACGCAGCGCTTTGCCCGTTGTCGTATTCCGCACATGTCGTTGTTTCAGGATCACAGAAAGCTCCAGAAGTGCAGATTGTTCGTTCTAGGAGAAGATGAGATAAATCATTCTACACATGCAGAGCACGAAATATCTCCATGATAAAGCACAAGAAATATGGACCCGTTCCAGAGCAGGCAAAGAAATGGTGGTGGAAGAACGGCTCCATGAGAGGAGTGCAGGGGGTATGATACGGGAGAGGAGTGCAGGGGGTATGATACGGGAGAGGAGTGCAGGGGGATGATACGGGAGAGGAGTGCAGGGGGGTGATAGGGGAGGGGGGGGCAGGGGGGATGATCCGGGG